CGCTCATCCTTGTAACCCCTTAGTCCATCCCCCACCCCCCTGTACCGCTGTATTCCTCTGTAACAGAGAAAGAGGTGTCATCTATCTGGCTGTTCTGTGTAACACAGTTGTGTAAGCCTTAGAACTGGATGGACAGAAACATAGACCCTTTGGCAGATAAACTGCTGTATGTGTTTCATCTGTGTATTTGGATTTAGTTTGCCTTAAGTTCAGCTTCATGTTATCTTAATGTGTTTTCTTGGATGGATGAATGAAGAACAATATCTGATTCTGATACCATCAAATTAATTGATTCTTTTTTCTTGTCTTTTTAGGTTATAAATGAATAGTCCTTATGCCCAACATGAGCTGGAGTTTTTTAACCCGTCTTCTAGAAGAAATTCACAATCACTCCACCTTTGTGGGGAAGGTCTGGCTCACGGTCCTAATCATCTTCCGAATAGTCCTAACCGCAGTTGGCGGGGAGTCGATCTACTCCGATGAACAGAGTAAATTCATGTGCAACACGAAGCAGCCGGGCTGCGATAACGTCTGCTATGACGCCTTTGCCCCTCTGTCACACGTGCGGTTCTGGGTCTTCCAGATCATCATGATATCGGCTCCGTCGGTCATGTACCTCGGCTACGCCATCCACAGGATTGCTCGGGCCGCCGAGGACGACAGGCGGAACCATATGCGAAAGAAGAAGAAAAAGGCTTTTTCGAGATGGCGGACGGGTGAAAACGTTGAAGACCCGGAGGACGAGGAGGAGGAGCCCATGATCTACGAGACTCCAACAGAACCAGAGAAAACAGAAAGCAAAGGCAAGGAAAACAAAAAACACGACGGCCGGAGACGGATCAAAGAAGAGGGACTGATGAAAATTTATGTCTTTCAGCTTTTGTCGAGGGCTGTTTTTGAAGTTGGCTTTTTGATAGGTCAATATTTCTTGTACGGCTTCGAAGTCTTGCCTTCCTTCCAGTGCAACACACAGCCGTGCCCACACACGGTAGACTGTTTTGTGTCTAGGCCGACAGAGAAGACGGTATTTTTGCTGATCATGTACGTGGTGAGCTGCCTGTGCTTGTTGCTGAACATCTGCGAGATGTTCCACCTCGGAGTTGGGACCCTAAGGGACGTGATTCGCAGCCGGAGGACTAATGCCGCCAGGCAGCCCCCTTACAATTACTCCTACCCAAAGAACACCGCTTGCCCCCCGGAATACAATATGGTGGTGAAGTCAGACAAGTCCTCCAAAGTCCCCAACAGCGGCATGGCCCACGAACAAAACTTGGCCAACGTCGCTCAAGAACAGAACTGCACGAGCCCCGACGACAACGTTCCGTCAGACCTCACCTCTTTACATAAACATTTGAGGGTTGCCCAGGAACAGTTGGACATTGCATTCCAGACCTATAACTCTCAGGTCAACGCCCAGGCATCGAGGACCAGTAGTCCTGCTTCTGGGGGGACGGTGGTGGAGCAGAATCGGGTAAACACTGCACACGAAAAGCAAGGAGCAAAGCCTAAGGCTGGCTCGGACAAAGGCAGTACCAGCAGCAAGGATGGGAAAACTTCCGTATGGATTTAACGTGCTATTTAACAAGGAGAAAATTCAATGAAAATCCACTGGAATTCCAAGTTTTTGATAACATGCCAGTAAATGGTTCCTCAGTTCAGGACCGAAGCACAATGTAAAATAATATACTAAATAGCATTTTTTGAATACTTTTTTCTTTCTCTACTCTTTTTCTAACCAAATACCAAGTTATATGGCTTTATACGTTCATATTTACTGACGTGCTTCTAATCTGTCTGGAGAAACAGGGTGCGATTCTCGAATACTGTCCGGATTCACTACCACCAAGGGCTACAAACAATCTCTCCCGAAGGGTCTCTCGCTTTGTTACTTGCTCTAGAAAAACGGTGAACCTTCCGAATAACTCCTCGACGGGACCCCCTGGTTCTGTAGACTGAAAAGTCAGCTGGAATAATTGCTTTGCACAAAATTTATTCATGGGATACAGACTGGGAAAATGAGAATTTGTTCTGTTAACTGAAACTTTTTTTTTTTTTTGTCTCATTTGTAAGATATTGTTTTTTTATATAAAAAAAAAAAGAACGTTGATCAAATATTGTCTTTATACCTGTTGCATGTGCGAACTATTGGTATTGGAAATGCGATACATTATTATTATTATACAGGATTTACTGTATATAGCGCTTTACAATATAAGGAAGACATTACAAACACAATACAATTCAAGAAAAGACGGTAAGGAGGGCCCCGCCCCTGAGGGCTTACATTCTAAAAGGGAGGGGCCAGTGATACATGAGGAGCAGAGGCGTAACTAGAACCTTCAGTGCCCCGATGCAAGAAATTATGATCACTGACTGCTTGTACCCGCTCTCCATCCTGACTGGCTGTCACAGGAGGCTGAGTGGAGTGGGAGGAGAGACGCCGGCTGCTCACAGCGCTCTCCTGCCGCAGCGCTCGGCTGCCTGTCACAGTTTCTCTCCTCCCCGCTGGGACACAGAGCAGCGCCCCAGCGGGGAGGAGAGAAAGAGTGGATGTGCCGCTGTATCAGCCAGAAAGTGCCATTTTCGGACGATATGTTTCGGCAGCCGATATATCGGTGCATCCCTAGCTTAGATGGTGTGAAATGGGACAGCCATCCCTGTACATGGGGTATAGGGGGGGCCTTCAACACCATCTGTCACCCACCTAATGCAGCTTTAACATCTCCACCCCGGAGATTCACACAACAATTCACACCTTGGACCATGTAACTCAAACATGACTTCCCGGTGCCATTGGATGGGGTTATGTAGCTAGAAGAAGAAGTTCACACCTCCCATCCTGTTCTTCGACAATCATCTGCCGTGACACATCCCATGGTGATTGGATGAAGGTGTCTGATCTACCTTAGGGTTACATGGATATAGATGTATGGATGGGTGGATGTGGATATAAATGACGGGAGATGTTCCTGACACTCATCAGAACTGAGGAAGCCTCTTGGGTGAGTTGCGAAACGTCTTCAACATTGAAGAACAAGTCCATCTGACTGCGAGTAACTCCAACTAGTCTCAGCAGGAAATACAACTCCTCTTCAGATTCCGATTGGCTAATGGGGGTTACTCAGCGCGGGTCAGCCCGCCGCAGACAATGCAATCCTTCTATAAGATGCACCCAGATAAACCTGCAGAGCCTTCAATAAGGTTCTCGGCTCTAATACATCTGATCTACTCTGTGGTACCGAGATTTACACCCGGCATACAGGACAAGAGAAGTGGTACTGTGCAGAGTCCATACATACAGTGGCGTCACAAGGGGGGTGCGGCCCAGGTGACACCATTGGAGGGGTGACACCAAAATGACTCACAGTCATTTTGGTGTCACCCCCCTCTGAAAAGTCGGGCGCTCGGTCATGGACCGAATGCCCGACAGTATCAGGAGAGAGGAGGGGACCCGGCGGCATACCTTATCCCGCCGGGTGACTGTCCCCTCCTCTCTCTGCCGGCGTCCATCACCAAGATGGCCGCCGGCAGGTTTCAGAATACTGCCGCGCGTGCGCGATGATGTCATCGCGCTCGCGTGTGGGTGTCACCCAGCCTCGGGACGCCCCTGCATACATACCCAGATAGAAAGTATAACTTGCCACAAACTTGTGTCCGGGTTAAATTTTAATTCTTGTTAACTTGCCGCACACATTCCTGGCAAGTTGTAGACTCGCAGAACACTCGCAGCACAAGTTCTAGGCGACACTTTTTGAATTTGTAGCAAATTTGCTTGACAAGTCTACAGCAAGAGTCCTGCAGGTCTTAGCAAGAGCTCTGCAAGTGTGCAGCACTTTTGCAAAGCACATTGATCTGGAGACTTGCAATGCCGACTTGCTGTAATTATGCAACAAAATTGTGACGCTTGCCAAGTCTAGCGATAGTCTAGCAAATCATTTTCAAACTTGCAGCTCAATTGCTTGCTATCTGGGTACAGAATAGGAGCAGATACCGAGAATAACATATCCCCCCCACACACACACACACACATTGAATGCTGTGCTGTATATTATATGCTTCATACAGCTAAACTGTCCTGGCTGTGACATAATCTCCACTGCCCTGTGCAGTACATGACAAATCCCACACCCACTCACTCTGAATGCTGTGCTGTACATTATATACTTTATATACTTTATCATCACTGCATTGTCATCCATAAGCAATTCACTCCAGAAGACTCTCAGCTGTCACCCCGCTGAATGAAGGTAACAGTTTTGGTATTATATATACTGCACTGTGCGCTTCAGCATGCGCTGACCCCGCTCTGTCATGTGACGTGGCCGACCACTTCCTGGCTGAGTTGCTGTTGTTCCCAGTTGCTTCCACTTTGTTATAATACGTAACACCTGAATCCAATGATTTAGAGGGACGTCCCAATACTTTTGGCAATATAGTGTATATTCCATGGTGCTAGATGCAGTAAGTGATTTTTGGAAAGTCCCCCCCCCCCTCTTTTTTGGGCCCCCCACATGCGATTGCCCGGAGCAGTATACCACCTGTTCCCCCCATGAACTATAATCACTGTGCATGACACCAGCAGCCTCAGAGCACGGAGCGGCAGCTGAAGGTCGCAGTGTAAATAACGCGATGGAGCCATGTATCACGCTGTGACGCGGAGGGGATAATGGACGTCTCTCGCACAAACACAACGGGATCTGTTTTGATTCGCTGTGTAAACCCGCGGACGATGAGCGCTCTGGAATACGGTCTGCCACAGGTCTTACATCATCCTCGCCTTTATTTAGTCAAAGAGGAATCCCAGCCAGTAAGGGAAAAAAAAAATCAGATTGTGGACGCTGCGTCCCGTACAGACACTGTGAGAGGTATTTATTAAAAAATCATGTAAATCCTGGTTGCTGTGTTCACAAATGTCTGGCACAGATCAGCCCCCTGCTGCACCCTCTCACCTTGTGACTTACTGCAAAGTTACAATGTTGCAATCTGATCACTGGGGGAGGGGAGACTGAGGAAATGCTTCCTCCTGCCAGCAGCAGTCTGATCACTGGGGGAGGGGAGATTGAGGAAATGCTTCCTCCTGCCTGCAGCAGTCTGATCACTGGGGGAGGGAAGAATGGGGAAATGCTCCCTCCTGCCAGCAGCAGTCTGATCACTGGGGGAGGGGAGATTGAGGAAATGCTTCCTCCTGCCTGCAGCAGTCTGATCACTGGGGATGGGAGACTGAGGATATGCTTCTTCCTGCCTGCAGCAGTCTGATCACTGGGGGGGGGGAGGAGACTGAGGAAATGCTTCCTCCTGCCAGCAGCAGTCTGATCACTGGGGGATGGGAGAATGGGGAAATGCTTCCTCTTGCCAGCAGCAGTCTGATCACTGGGGGAGGGGAGAATGGGGAAATGCTTCCTCCTGCCAGCAGCAGTCTGATCACTGGGGGAGGGGAGACTGAGGAAATGCTTCCTCCTGCCAGCAGCAGTCTGATCACTGGGGGAGGGGAGACTGAGGAAATGCTTCCTCCTGCCTGCGGGAGACTGATGACATCATCTCAGCCTAGACAACATCTCTAATTGCAGCTCCACTGAGGCTTTTTAACAATAAAGAGGTGGAGGTTTTGTAAGAATTGACACTGTAGGTATATATTGCAACGTGTCAGGAATGAATTACAATGTAACGTTACTGACAGGTCCACTTGGAGAGAAAATCTTCTTTCTGATTCCTGGCCTGGCAGAGCTCGGCAGCCATCGCTGGCTCAGTTTTTGTTGGACTTGTCGGCTGTATTTGGCTTTGTAAATCTCTCCGGCGTCTCCGGCGTAAGAACAATAATCGCGAAAGATTAGAAGTCATTTGGGAACACTCGAATTCTCGTTTACTTAGGAACGTTTTCTGCCTCGTAATACAAACAAGAGAAGCGAATGAAGCAGACGGACCATTAGGGAGCCGACAAGGACTGCTGTCACCTTAAACGTCTCGGGATTATTAAATTGTACACCGATCAGCCATAACATTATGACCCCCTGCCTAATATTGAGTAGGTCCCCCCTTCTCCTGACCCGTCCAGGCATGGACCCCACTAGACCTCTGAAGGTGTGCTGTGGTATCTGGCATCAAGCCGCCAGTAGCGGATCCTTTAAGTCCTGTAAGATGTGAGGTGATCGGCCTCCATGGATCGGACTTATTTCTCCAGCACATCCCACAGATATACGATTGGATTGAGATCTGGAGAATTTGGAGGACAAGTCATCACCTCATACTCGTTGTTGTGTTCCTCAAACCATTCATGAACCATGTTTGCAGTGTGGCAGGGCTCATTATCCTGCTGAAAGAGGCCACTGCCATCAGGGAATACCATCTCCACGGAGGGGTGTACTTGGTCAGGAACAATGTTTAGGTCGGTGGTACGTGCCAAAGTGACATCCACATGAATGGCAGGACCCGAGGTTTCCCAGCAGAACATTGCCCAAAGCATCACACTGCCTCCGCCGGCTTGTCTTCTTCCCATAGTGCATCCTGGTGCCATCTCTTCCCCAGGTAAGTGACACCCACCCGGCCATCCACATGATGGAAAAGAAAACGTCATTCATCAGACCCGGCCACCTTCTTTCATTCCTCTGGGGTCCAGTTCTGATGCTCATGTGCCCACTGCAGATGCATTTGGCAGTAGACGTTGGTCAGCATGGGGAGCCTGACCGGTCTGCAGCTACACACCCTCAGACACCTTTCTATAAGAATCATTAACTTCTTCAGCAATCTAATCTCCAGTAGCTCTTCTATTGGATTGGACTACACAGGCCAGACTTCCTTCCCCACATGAGCCTTGGCCGCCCATGACCCTGTCACTGATTTTCCTTCATTGGATCACTTTTGGTCGGTCCTGACCACGACAGACCGGCAATATCTCGCAAGAGCCGCAGTTTTGGAGTTGCTCTGACCCAGTCGTCTAGACATCACAATGTCCACTTGCTGTCCAATATATCCCCCCCACTTCCAAGATACCTTTCTACTGTTTTACTGTTCAAAGCCCATTTCGTGTGCACCTTGCTGTATAACTGGTGACGAATTGTTGAGTGCGTTTGTGTAGACATCCAAAAGCTCTGCGACTGCTGCTGG